ACCACCACAGGGGCATCATACCCCCCCCATCCCATTGGGGGGGGGGTGGGGGGGGGTGGGAACACGGGACACGGGACCATATATATACACATATATATATATATACATATAGATATATATATATATATAGAGAGAGAGAGAGCAAAAATATAGTATATTATATAATTACACATCATTATCCAACATCATGGAATCTAGAGATTATATGGATTCTCTCACACGTGTTTTTTTCCATACTCTCCGTGTCTTGTCGCAGAAATCCACCAGTCGATGGGAACGAGGCCGAATTTCAGGGAAGATCACCACAATTCATATGGCCAACAATATGGTATGTTTACGTACCTCCATCTGTTGGATCCTGAAGATCTCCCATTGATATATATATATTTATATATATATATGTATACATACAGTTTCTATAGGGATTTTTTTCGGGATGCTCCCATCAGATAGCCTCCTGAATTTCCCATTGAATTCACCAGGTGTCACTTGCTGGCGGTGTTGCACAGCTTGCGCGCGCTCCTCCGTGACCTGCGTTGTCGGAAAGCCGAGCTGGATCAAGGCGCTGAACGGCGCGGAAGCGCGGGTAAAAGATGTGGTGAAATGATGGGGGTACCATCTGGTTATTTAACATAGCCATGGAAAATGGCCCATTTATAGATGGTTTACCTATTATAAATGGTGATTTTCCATGGCTATGTTAAATAACCATATGGTATCATAGGATATAAATATGGCTTAATAATGGTTAAGTAAGATCCCATAGGATCCATGTATGCTATATATGGTAACATTTACCATCAATATACCCCCAATGTTAGCATATATGCCATACATGGATCCTATGGGTATGGATATATATATAGTTAAATATGGTTATATCTGGATAATGTGGTGAAAATTTACTAGTTAAATATGATTAATAATGATGGTATGACAATGATATGGTTATAATAATGGTTGATAATATGGTTACAAACTGTACGTATATATGTATATATATACATATAATCTGGTCGGTGGTGACTGGAACCATGGAATTTTATGACTTTCCATTCAGTTGGGAATCTATAATCATCCCAACTGACGAACTCATATTTTTCAGAAGGGTAGGTATACCACCAACCAGGGATGTATCACTTGTAAACTTGTAATAGTTACAAGTTATTGGAAATTTCGAGGGAATCATAGGATTTTTGATCGGGAAAATCTTGTTTTATATGGAAAATAGTGATACTTCATTTCCGGATAATGGATATCCATAGGTTTTTTTCAATACTGATGTGGAATTATGGAGACTGGAATTGTACCTAGAAAATGATCAACAAATGCTTCACCATAATTTAGCTAGTAAGCATTGTTGAACATTGGACATGTAGCTAGTAAGATAGGCTAACCCGGACAATTTTGATGTGAGCCACTAAGTTGAGCAAGGATTTATGGCGGAGATTCATCCTAACTGTGGGGTGGCTATTCATTCTTAGACTAATAGTTTGCGAACTTGAAAATGGTCATAGAAATATTTGATTTACCCAGCTTTTTTTTGCATGGTGATGTTCCAGTTCGTTTTTTGTAAACGTTTACCAGGCCGGGTAACAAACATAAAGCTGGGATGCCCAATCTTGTAGATCATGGCGCTTACAAGTTGGCCAACGTACAGCAACCGCTTAAACCAACGTACAGCATCCCCAGTGATTTGGTCCACTATAATCCCCATGAAAATTGCTTAACTAGTTGTAGGGCCCCCCCGTTATGTTTGTTGGTTCAAAAACACCATTAACTAGTTCATTATAAATATCATTGTTGGTTTATAACCCCCATGAACTATATATGATATACTGTATAGTTATAAATATCATAAGCCACAGTTATTGTAGTTATTGGCACCAACTTAGCTATTGAAACGGGCTCCCCGCGTTGAAGCAACGTAGCCATTGGGGTCCTGGGTGCCTGTGAGTGACCGGATGACTTCCGCCGATCCATGCGAAACCATTCGCACTCGATTTTTTTTGGGAATTGTCAGCCCACCAAAACGGATGCATGAATATGTATATATAGACTTGGTGGTTCACCCCCACTTAGTAAGTAGGTTATAACCCTGGTTATAACTGGGCTAAGTAGGGTTAGTTCACTTATAACTGGGGTTATAATCCACTTACTAACTGGGATGAACCACCAAGTAATATATATATATATATTATATACACACAGATGTATATATATATATAGATAATATAGGTGTTCATGTCCAAAATAGAGAAATTTTGGTATGTTCACGGGTACACCGAAAGTCATGGGGCAGTGAGTTTGACCGCCATTTTTTCATCGACCAACTGCGCTTCAGGCAGCGTCTGGGATCCACAGCAGGGTACTGTCCGAGCTTTGCCTTTGGATTTGCCCCTGGAGGCTGGAGATCACATTTGTGGTTGATGATACCCGGCCTGGTAAACATACAAAAAGCGATTGAACATGGCCATAGAAATAGTTGATATATGTTGATATTAGTTGATCTACCCATTAATAGCATGGTGATTTTCCATAATTCAACTGCTGTAACATAACTATGGAAAGATCCACCATTTTCCATGGGTAAATCCACTATTTCTATGGTCATTTTCAAGTTCGCAAAGTGTTAAATTACCAGAGGGCAACCCGATTAACCATAGAACTAACCATAGAAACCGTAGAACTAACCAACCGTAGAACTAACCGGATGATACCCGATACCCTCTAATAATTTAACAGTTTGCTATTGAAAATGGCCATAGAAATAGTTGATTTACCTATTCAAAATGGTGGATTCTCCAGTTCGCTATGTAAACGTTTAAGTCCGGCGGGGAGCACTGCCGATCTAGCGCTTGCAGTTGAGGTCTGGCTGGGAGCACTCTGATCCTGAGCTTGCTGTCCGGGTCCGGCAGGGAACACTGCGATCGCTTGCAGTTGAGGTCTGGTGGCGAACACTTTGCTCCAGAGGTTGCTGTCCGGGTGCGGCGGGGAACACTGCGATCGAGCGTTGCAGCGGAGGTCAGGCGGGGATCACTCTGATCCTGAGCTTGCTGTTCGGGTGAAGAGGAGGCGGGACAGCTGGCATAAAATCCAACAACGCTAACCTGACAGGTGGGGAGATATCAAAAAAGTGTGGACATATCACCTACAGTTATGGCCATTTATTACTTATAACTGGTCATAGATAGGATTATACATTCCATAAATTGGAGTTATAAGGTGTTATAAGTACTTATGACTGGTAAAGGGCCATAACCGTAAACCATTCTGGAAACACTTTTTCAGCATCTTTTCTGGGGTTGCTATACATTTCGCCATATTCCATTTCTAGGTTGGATTCCCGCTTTGCCCATAGCCAATCTAGCTTGATCGATTGAGCGAATCAACAACGTCCAGTCTCAATTTACCAAAGAGGTCTCAAAGACAGAAAAGGATGGATTATGTGAAGAATACTCCAGCTTTGTCGGAACATGTGACCCCTAATTCCAAAGGATTATCATCATATTTCCCCATTGACATCGGATCTTTCCCGTGGAAATGAGTCATCTTTGCATATTTTACCATGCCAGAACCGTCTCGAAAATGTTGGCCTGCATTCACCTCAAGCAGTAGGATTTCGTTAATTCTTAGAGGTAAGACTACGTAATGATATATATATATATATATAGAGTACACACACACACACATATATATATATATATATACATACATAGGTGTATATCATTGTAAATCACTGCTAATGTTCTACATTGAAAATTTCACACCAAGTGCATTTCTGAACGTCTGGCGTCGCTGCAGGTCGACAAAGAGACGCCCTGGTGGGAAGCTGCACCTGCGGCTCCTGATGTGTCGCATGCCGAGATGGCAGGCTGATGCCGGTAGGGACCCCCCGTGGTGTTTGTTGGTCTAGACTCAGCCCATTACACATAGTTGGCTATTTCCAACTGGACAGCACGACAATGTATGACATGATGTAATCAGGAAGGATGGTGTCTTACCCTTCAATAAATCATTCTGAGAACTGACAAATACACTGGCAATCCCCATTTTCTTGCACATAGTATATAATTAGATGATCTGTGCAAATGGAGGACTTTCCATTTGCATCTTTGGGTACCATGTCTGCGGGGGTTTCGGTTACTCATGTTTATGGTTTGCTGGTTTAGCCTGGCTCCCGTCAAGACTGGGATTACTTTCCCATAGACCCAGTGACCGGGGTCCCTAATGAGGTTGGATAGCCAGCTCCATGAACTATCTGACGTCCACAAAGGTGACCGATTGTTAATCAATCAACTATTGGTGGTTGTTGGTTGGTGTTGTTGGGGTGTCTCCTCATAGGGAAGTTGAATCGCGCGCTTGGCAAGAAGTGGGTGAAAAAGACACGCTTGAAATCAACCCCAGTCATGGAAGTCCAGTTATGCAAATGCATCCCAAGGTCATTCCAGTTCTAGAGGTCTTCATGCCAATTCTACCATATAGGTTTGTCTCGAATTCCTGCTGTGGGTCAGCCACATAGTCCAACTGGGAAGATGGGATCGGAACCTGCAGGAAACCTTTGGAATCCCAACTTGGATGTGCTGGCGTTCATGTGCTGGGCATGTCAAGATCCTCTCAACGGAGGCGGGCATAGCTTGGTGTTTCATCATTAACCCTTGTAAATTTCGTGTGGTGGCCAGGATCTACCAATTTACAGGCTTGCTGCAGCTTATTGTATGCAACCTGATCACCACAAATGGACCACAAAAGGTGAAAATGAGTGATTTAACCAATTTACCGCAATTTTCCCCTTCAGCAAGCTTTGGCAGTGTGTTTTTCCCCAACAGTGTAAGCTAATGGGGTCTTCAGCCTAGGTCTGGGAGGCTTTGGTGCAGCCAGGTCAGGTTCAACAGGGTTCCGGAGAAGGTTCCGGAGGCTTGGGTGCAGAGCCAGGTCAGGTTCACCAGGGTCTGGAGAAGGTTCCGGAGAAGGCTTGGGTGCAGAGCCAGGTCAGGTTCAACCAGGGTGCGGAGAAGGTTCAGGAGAAGGTCTGGGAGGCTTTGGCGCAGAGCCGCAAGGTTTGGGAGGCTTTGGTGCAGAGCCAGGTCAGGTTCAACAGGGTTCCGAAGAAGGTTCCGGAGAACGTCTGGGAGGCTTGGGCGCAGAGCCGGAAGGTCTGAGAGGCTTTCAGTGCAGAGCCAGGTCAGGTTCAACAGGGTTCCGGAGAAGGTTCCGGAGAACGTCTGGGAGGCTTTGGTGCAAAGCCAGGTCAGGTTCAACAGGGTTCTGGAGAAGGTTCCGGAGAAGGTTCCAGGAAGCCTTGGTGCAAAGCCAAGCCAGGTTCAACGGGTTCCGGAGAAGGTTCCCGCTTGGCTCCGCAGCACGCTTCAGAAAGATTTGAAAAAAAACGTTGCAGCTGTTGGGGACAGCACCGAAGCTTATTTTTGGATATAGGGACTCATCTATTAATCCATGTCTGATTGCAGAAGATAGATGCTTTACAGCAATCCAACAATGATGGGTATATGGCCATGGGTCAAAGCCTTGA